TCCCCCCCCCCCCCCCCCCCCCCCGCCAACTTTCACACCTGATGCGCTCCCAGTAAATACAAAGGGGGCAAGGAATGAAGCTTTCGCGGCTGTTGCAGCCCCAAGCTGCTTTAGCCCCGCCTTCCTCTTTAACCAATGGCAGGTGCCCTCTCGGCGGCCCGGTCGAGGGCAGTGGGCGGGGCCACGCACTGACGCAGACCTTGCGAAGGGCTAAACGTGGACCGCGTTTCCGCCCCGAGAAACCGTCGCGTTTCTGGGTTGACGCCTCAGCTGACAGTTACCACCGACCGCATTAGAAGGCTCCGGACCGGCCACCTCCATCACCAGCGTCACCATGGGGGCTGTGCTGGGCGTCTTCTCCTTCGCTAGTTGGGTGAGTTCGGGGTCCTGTGTCGTCGGACCGGCGGTTTGGGGGAAGGGCGATAGGGAGCCTCAAGCCCAGACCCTAATGGGCCTCGGCTCGGGGTAGGGGCGGCCCCTGGGTTGCAGAGGGTGTCCGGGACCCCAAGCCAAAATATGCGATGTCCTCAGGTCGGGATCAGGTGGCTCGCTTTCTGAGTGAGTTGAGGCACGGTAGGAGACTACGCCGCCATTGTTTACAATTCCAGTTGCCCCGCCCCCGCGAACCTTCCGGATTCCTGGTTCCTGTGTAGCAGGGGTAGGACCGGAATGTGAGCTCCTCGTGGGCGGGGCGCTCTGGTTCGCTTCGAGGCACATCGAAGTGAGGTGCATTTTATTATGGATGGCTTGAATAGTATTTTTAGCCGAAAGCACGGGATTTGCCAAAGCTACAGAGTATTGTGTGTGGCAGGGCGGGGATTTTAACCCAGCCTGTCTACCGTTCTGGGCAAGGGTAAGAAGGCCTTGTTGATAATTACTCAGAATAGGAAGCCATGGCCTGGACGTTTTGGGACATCTACAGGTCATTTGTCTTTGAGGATAATCACCCCAGCATTCCTCTCCTCGAGAGCTGTTGGGAGGATAAAGGGAAATTTTAGGGTCAGTGAAAGAATATGCTGAGTTCCTTAGTATACCCGCTTCACAGCAGCCTTATTCCTTGAAATCATTTTCTTGTTCTGTAATTCCTCAACTTATATAACTGACCAAGGATTCCATCTTAGCCCATTCTACTACTATTTCATAGGGTCAGAATGTATTTTCATCCTTTTTTTAAAAAAAGATGACCGGTAAGGGGATCTTAACCCTTGACTTGGTGTTGTCAGCACCATGCTCTCCCAAGTGAGCCACGGGCCGGCCCCCATATTTTCGTCCTTTAAGTTTGTTGATTTTAAATTAATAAGGAAATTTGGTCATTTAGGGATTCCTTGTGAGCAGTGGCTTTCTAATTTTTTGACCTTAACCTAAAGTAAGAAGTAAATTTTACATAGTTGATCTAATGTGCCCATTTAGACACAACATTTCATGAAATAATTCTTACCTGTACATACATCTACTATACAATTTTTCTTTTATCACATTAAAAGAAATCTTGGAATGTTAATGTTTACAATCCACAAGTGTGGGTCAAACTCATTATTTACAAAATAGATATTTGAAAAATGTATTTAAGAAGGTCATTAGTTAAGGAGTAAATTGGTAATTTAAAACAAACATATCATTCCTCTTTGATAACCTGAAATACATTTTGGCATTGATCGAGAGCTAAGATTTGAATTGATGCCATCCAAGCATTTCTATCCATAAATTGCTTTTATATTTTATTAACTCCTTTTATTCAATAGAAACAGCAAGTTCTAGCAATTCAAAGGAGTGGTTAGAGTTTGGTTCTTATATCCCTAACTTAGGAGATAGGTAGAGGGGAGAATTGCTTATCACTGAACATTCCTGTCTTGCATCTGTAAATAACCTCTGAAATAAACTTTTTTTCCTCTTGCTAACCTGTATTTTTTGTCAGTTTAATTCACAAGCACTCAGGGACTGAACCCAAGAGAATGGAGGAAAAGTTTTTCCTTTTCTTTGCTGCTTTACCATTACGTTTCTACTATTTTTCACACAGCAACCAGAACCCATTTTGTTAAAACACATGTCAGATCATATCACTACTTTTTCCAAATCCTATAATGGATTCCCATATCACTTAAGAGTAGAAGCCAAAGTCCTTAAAAGCCTACAAGACCATATAATGAGTATTTGCATAGTTTGGGTCTCTGCTACCTTTCTGACTTCAGTTTATTCTTCCCCTCACTCATTCTACTCCCTGGTATACTAAACTCCTTGCTGTTTCTGTTGAATAAAAGAAGCTAATAAAATATAAAAGCAATTTATGGATAGAAATGCTTGGATGGCATCAATTCAAATCTTAGCTCTCGATCAATGCCAAAATGTATTTCAGGTTATCAAAGAGGAAAGATATGTTTGTTTTTTTTTAGGAAAGACTAGTGGGTTTTTAGGAGAACAAACAGGACATAAAGTTTGTGTTAATACTTGTTTACTCAGGTGTGAGAGGTCTTTCCAACTTCCTAATGTCCTTAAAACTCCCCTGGAGAGGGAATTTATGGCAGCCTCATTTCCCAGAAGTTGCTGCTTTTATTGAAATAAGGGACGCTCTGAGAAGGCTTTCTTTTCCTGCATCTGTTGATTCTCAAATGTCTTTATTTTAAAGATTATTTTATTATTAAAATAATTTTTATCCCAGCTCAGGGGTTCCGAATAGGTCCCTACAGCAGTGAGACAGGAGCTATTACATGTAATCTAGATGAAAGATGATAGTAGTGGCTTAGACTGAGGTGATAGGGAGGAATGCTATGACAGTGGTCAAATTTTGGATATATTTTAGGGATAGAGCTGATATACTGACAGATTAGATGAGCATCCTCTTGGCCAGAGCAACAGGAAGGATAGAGTTGCCATTTACTGAAATAGGGGAACAGGGGAACAACATAACACGTAGTGGGACATGTTTGTTGGACACATATTTACTGGAAACCTACTCTGTAAAGGTGGTCCCCTCCTCAAAGTATTTACATTCTCTTGACAGTTAAAAGACAAGTAAGTAGGTGTATTCATTCACTAGGGCTGCATAGCAAAGTACCACAGTCTGGGTAGCTTAAACAACAGCGATTTATTGTCTCTCAATTCTAGAAGTCCGACCTTAAGGTGTCAGCAGCGTTGGTTCCTTCTAAGGGTGGTGAGGGAGAATTTTGTCACTGGACCACGATTGGGGCCCCTCACTCGTTACCTAGTTATTTCAATACATTGAGACCAGTATTGCAGAGATAGAAAGTAGACATTGATTACAAGGCCAAGTAAGGAGACTCAGGGCAGCTAATGCTGGAAAAACCCCAGGGCGCCCCTAAAATTTCCGAGCAAAGATTTTTAAAGGCAGACTGGGTGAGGAGAGGGTTGAGGCAGTGTGGCCAGCCAGTGGATGTTTCTGGTTGGTTGAGTCTCTTGAAACAAAGAAAATTCTCTGAGCCTTTGCTTATCTTTTGGCTCTAGTCAGTCCGCGATCCTTGCAGTCTGCACCTGGTCAGCACATTCCTTTAGCTGGGTGAGGAAGTTAGACTTTGCCCGAATGAAAACATTTCAAGGATACATGTCAAAGTAGTGCTTTTTGTACTTGGAGTCTAACAGTCCTAGTTTATGGCTCCCTCTGTCCCCTGGTTACATCCCATTTGCCCAGCTGCCTGTTGGATCCTTCCTTAATTGCTGTCTGTAAATTCCGGCTCCTTAATTGGAGAGCCTAGTTCCCAGAGTCTAAAACATCTTCTATTGGGGGGTGGGGTGGGGTGGGAATAGGAAGGTGAGAAGCAGCCCAGGCCTAAAACCCCCTTTTACCTAAACTTCTGAAGAGCTTTAAGGAAGAGGGGTACCTGCTCAATCTCAATCTCTTCCATGCCTCTCCCCTAGCATTTGGTGGTTTGCTGCAGTCTTTGATGTTCCTCAGCTTGTAGATCTCTGTTTTCATCTTCATGTGTTGGTCTCCCTCTGCTACCAAGTCTATGTCCAAATTTCCCCTTTTTGTAAGAACAGTAGTCATATTGGATTAGGTGCCCACCCTACTCCAGTATAACCTCATCTTAACTAATTACCTGACTCTGTTTTCAAGTAAGGTTACTGTCGTCTGAGGTACTGGGAATTAGGATTTCAACATATGAATTTGCGGGGAGGACAGACACAGTTCAACCCATAACAAACACTAGGCAATTACTATGTAATTATTTGAATTGGTCAGGAAAGAAAATAGCTAAAGAGGGATGTGAGTCTGAAAGTGTAGACAAAATAAACCTGAAGCAATTAGTGTCATTTTTTAGCTGTAAAATACCTGATAGAGATTTTCATTTTGGTCTTTTGGCCCATATGGTAGTTAAGAATTAGAGACTGAAGCTAGCTGGTAAATTTCCCATTTGCTGTTTCAATTACAAATAATAATGGCTACCATGATATATTGATCTCCTGCTGTGTCGGGCTAAATTATGCTAAGTGCTTTATATTTGTGACATCATCTCATTCTTCACACAATAACTGGGTTGGGGTTTTCATTTTTACAAATGAGAAAACAGTTTTTAAGAAGTTTAGTATCTTGCTGCAAGCCTCACAGAACCATGGAAAAGTCCACACAAAGTACCATCTATAAAATAAAGATTACTGGCACCATATTGTAAGACCAGAGTTGTCCATTGTTCATATCTCTTGCTTCTGCTACTTCTGCATTAGCCTGTCCTTGTAATGTGACTTGATAAGATCACCCGCCAGAGCAGTTCAAGCAGTTTCCTAATCAAGTATGTATAAGAATGACTCAAATTATATCCTTTCACCTGGAGTGGTCATTAACAGATTTTAGCTGACCAAAGATCCAGCCTACTCTTTTTTTGTTTTTAATTGAAGTGAAATTCACATAACATAAAATTAACCATTTTAAAGTTTATAATGTAGTGGCATTTAATATATTCATAATATTTTGCTGCCATCACATTTATCTACTTCCAGAACATTTTCATCACCCCAAATGGAAACCCTCTTCACCATTAAGCAGTTACTGCCGATTCTCTTCTTCCCCCAGCTCCTGTAGTCTTGTTTCTGTCTCTGGATTTACCTATTCTGGATAGTTCATATAAATAGAATAATGCAATGTGTGACTTTTTGTGTCTGGCTTGTTTCACTTAACATAATTTTTTGAGGCTCACTGGTGTTGTACAGTGTATCAGTACTTCATTCCTTTTTTGTTTGAATAATTTGTATGGATATACCACATTTTACTTTGTCCACATTTACTTATCAGATAATGGATATTTGAGTTGTTTCCACCTTTTGGTAATTCTAAATAGTGCTGCTGTGAAATTCATGTACAAGCTTTTGTGGGGTTTTTTTTTTTTTTCCTTTTTGTCTTTTTTACTGACCGGCAACGGGATCGCAACCCTCGGTGTTGCGCCCGCACCGCGCTCAGCCAGTGAGCGGGAACCGGTCTCCACATGGGATCCGAACCCTCGGCGGGAGCGCTGCCTCACTCCCAAGCGGTGCACTCCCCAGTGCGCCACCGGGCCGGCCCCACAAGCTTTTGTTTGACCAGCTGTTTCAGTTCTTTAGGTATATACTTAGGAGTCAAATCGCTGAGTTATATGGTAATTCTGTGTTTAACTTTTTGAGGAACCTTCGGGTTACTCTTGAATGGAGTTAAATGGCTCTTGTTATCAGTATTTATAAGTTTCCATGTAATATTGCTTTATGCTGTAATATCAGCTTTGGTAATTATGATTCTCAATAAAGAGCAAGTGGAGTGAGGTTTGTATTCTCATGTTTCTTTAAAACAGAATATGTTCTCTGTGTGAATATAACTAACATTTATCGGGCTCTTACTGTGTATTAGGCACTGTGTTGAGTGCTCATTTAATATAGCAAAGTTTGAGGGAGGAAGATTCTATTATTGAGCCTATTTTACAGGTGGAGAAATAGGGTTAGGTTATGTAACTTGCTGAGGTAAAGTAGCAGAAATAATATTGACACCAGAGCCCATGCTTTTAACCACTTCCTCCCAGCCATGATTCTCTGAGTTAAAACTGTCAAAGCCTGTTTGTCATGAAGGAGTCCACTGAAGGAAGTCTCAAATGACCCCACAGTGTTCTTATTACAGGTTCCGTGCCTCTGCAGTGGTGCATCATGTTTGCTGTGTAGTTGCTGTCCTAACAGTAAGAATTCCACTGTGACTCGCCTCATTTATGCTTTCATTCTCATCCTGGGCACCGTTGTGTCCTGTATCATGCTGATGGGGATGGAATCCCAGCTGAAGAAGGTAACTAGAAGTAACGGTACCCTTAGTGTACTGCTTATTTTTTAGATTTTGCAAAATTTTAGCTGTAATTGTTCTTATTTATTTCTTCACTGTTATACTCAATCAAGTTTGTTGTAATTTGGGGTTTTTAGGGTGCAGGCAAGACACAGAATATGAAGATACAAGTCCTTTTCCAGAAATAGATCCAGAATGAACATCTTCAGGCTCTCGTATAACAACTGTGAGAAAACAGATATTAAAAGAGTGGCCCTGAAATATTTTCTTTCCTTATATGTTCAACATTTGAGCATAAGAACTAAACTAGTTCCTCATCTTTGAAAAGAGTTGGTTGTAGTTGGAAAACCTCATGGAAAAATGGGAAATAACCTGAAAGAGCAAAGAAAAGAGCACTTTTATTTTTAAAATGTGAGGTGTTTGTGCAGTTTTCTAACAAGATTATAAGTGAATTGGAAGGCAAAGAGAAAAACCCCACAGTCTTGCAGATGTTGAAGTGGTCAGTTTTATAAATCCAGATTTTCCTGTAATGGGATGGTTTAAATGTAGATATTCCCATAACATTGAAATTGCTTTTTTCCAGATTCCTGGATTCTGTGAAGGGGGATTTAAAATCAAGGTGACTGATACAAAAGCGGATAAAGATTGTGACGTGCTGGTTGGTTATAAAGCTGTATATCGGATCAACTTTGCATTGGCTGTCTTTTTCTTTGTTTTCTTTCTGCTCATGTTAAAAGTAAAAACAAGCAAAGGTCCCAGAGCAGCAATACACAATGGGTATGTAAGTTTTATTATTAACTTGTTATATTATCCCCTTCAGCAGTTAAGGTTGCCATTCTGATGAGACCAATGGAATATGTAAATCAGTGGCCCAGATATATTTCTGACTTATTCTACATGTGAAATTGTTTTAGTGTCGTTTTCGGTTGGAGCCCTGTAACATTGAGGGGATGGCGGGGAGGGTCTTATCTTTTTTTTGTTTTTTTAATTTCAGTACCTTTGCTTCAAGTTCCTAGATTTTTATTGAACTGTCAAAACAGTTCAAGCACTATGTGAGACACTTACACGCACAGACTTTTTTCTTTCTGTTGTTGAAATATATACCTAATATATTTAAATAGTATACGAAAACGATAAACAGTGTGAATATATATGACATATTCTGTTGCTTCCCATTCCTGATGTCCAGTTCTCTTTTATATGTACAGTATTTTTAATTCTCATTTGAAGACTGAAGGGAGTTTTATAAACTTTATATGTATTAGATCCCCTTTTTATAGATGTAGTAACTGAATTTCACAGATGTGAAATAAATTGCCTGAGATGTCTCAGCCAGTTGAGGGCTTGGAGCTAAGATTGAAACTCAGCTCTGTCTAGCTCCAAAGCCTGGATCTTTCTACTCGTCCATACAAGGCAGTTATTCAGGATCATGAACTGGAAGTCAGGTGTAGTCCTGGCTTTGCCAGTGATGATGATCTTTGTCTCTGTGGGCAAGATATTGATGTCTTATGTTGTAAATGAAGGATTTGGCAATTACAGGTAACACTGTTATTTTAGAACTCTCCAGAATGCTAGAAGAATCCCTACCTTTAAGTACTAAAAGTAGGGAGGCTCTTAATTTACATTTCTCTTTTCTTTTGAATGTGAATGATTTATTCTTTGCCCTAAGACTATCCTTTAATTGTATGAAATATTGAATGAAGTAGTCTCATGTCAAATGAAGAAATAAGCACAGACAGGCTTATATTTCAGAATTTAATTTTTCTCAGTATAAGGGTGAAACTTAGCATGCATTTTTATTTTTTAATAGGTTTTGGTTCTTCAAAATTGCTGCCATTGTTGGTATCATGGTTGGCTCTTTCTACATCCCTGGGGGCAATTTCACTACAGGTATGGCTCACTATTGAGGGGGATAATTATCAGGTATACAAACTCTACAAATAATTGAGGGGGAAAAAAAGCCGCATTTTTATTACTGGTTTTAGAGAACTGACAATTAAATGAGATGGTGTCCAGTTATTATGACTCGGTACTAATATTAAGATATTGATTTAAAGCCAGGACACATTTGGCCCACTTCTCAGCTTTTCTGGAGTCATATGTTAATCCTTTGCAAGTATTTTAGTAGTTTACCTTCTCACTTGGCAATACAAAGTTAATTGGAGAGCTTAGAAACATAGGACTTTTGTCTCTTGAGCTCCTTGTCTTAACCTGCTTCCTTAACATTGTGTCACGTGACATCTGAATTTCTACTGTGTTTTTTCCCCCCTCTAAAATAAAGGAAAAGGCTTATAGTACCATTTGTAGTGTCAGGTCTAGGCTCCCTTTGGCATATGCTAAAACAGTTTTAAAAGGCCTGAAACCCAATGGAACACTTCTCAGAGAATGCTTTCGAGTTTGGAATTGTAATAATCTTGCTCTCCTGCTGGAGACAGAATGTCAGTACCACCTCTCTCGTTTGAAATCTGTCCAGAATGTTGGACAGTAATGTTCTGCAGTGTTACTCCTGTGGTAAAGAATAACTGTTCTCTTGATTTGCAGCCTGGTTTATTGTTGGCATGATAGGGGCTGGTTTCTTCATCCTCATTCAGCTGGTGCTGTTGATAGACATGGCTCACTCTTGGAATGAATTATGGGTAAATCAAATGGAAGAAGGAAACCCGAGGTTCTGGTATGCCGGTAGGTATCTAAACTCATCTGTGAAAGCCATACTGCTACATTAAGCAGGGTGTACAATAAAAATCTTCACTGACTTAAATGTATAAATTCCCAATGTAGAGCTGCCTTTTTTTTGTCTTTTTTTGTCGCCCACACCACGCTCAGCCAGTGAGCGCACCAGCCATTCCTATATAGGATCCGAACCTGAGGCGGGAGCGTCGCTGTGCTCCCAGCGCCACACTCTCCCAAGTGCGCCATGGGGCCGGCCCTAGAGCTGCCTTTTAAAGAATTATAATTTCCCAGCTGAGTTGATTCTGAGTTACAGTTCCTCAGTATCTATGGGGAATTGGTTCCAGGAGCCCCAAGGGATACCAACATCTGTGGATGCTCAAGTCTCTTGTATAAAATTGTGAGGTATTTGCATATAACCTACAAATATCCTGCCATATACTTTAAGTCATCTCTAGATTACTTATAATTCCTAATACAGTGTAACTGCTATGTAAATAATTGTTATACTGTAGTTTTTTAAATTCATATTATTTTTATTGTATTGTTATTTCTTATTTATTTATTTCCTGAATATTTTTGCTCCGGGGTTGGTTGATTCCATGGATGCAGAACTTGTGGATACAGAGGGCCAACTGTATATGCATTACTGAAAGGGAGTAGTACAGATAATACAAGTATAAGTAATTGGATTCTCCCAATTTATTTATTTTGAGATTTGTAATGTAACTACATGTGTAAGTAAGGAAAAACAATTGTATTTAGTGGCATAGTTTTGGTGTTGATAACCTTGTTTCCATGGACAGGACACTCAGATGAGTAACAGTTGTTAAGATTGCTTACCTCTGTCTCCCTGCACACCACCCCTCCATTGTAAAAATAAGAGATGCTTATGTCAAGAACTTGGAAAATAGAAAATTACGAAAGAAAACAGGTTTCCCCTTTAACCAACTATCCTATAATTATTAGTTGCTGTTAACATTAGTCTATATTCTTCCAGACTTTTTTCTATTATGTACACATGTGTCTTCTGTATATAGAAAAATACAAATCATTGAAAAATGGAATATGTTTGTGTTTATTTTTTAAATGTATTATACATTATACATTTGAATAGTTGTGGTTTGGCTTTTTTTTAACTTAGAAATGGCTTGTGAATATGTTTTGGCTATAGTACAACAAAAAATACCTAATAATAGATGTTTGAGTACAGTTCTGATTATCTCCTTAGGATAAATTCCCAGAAGTAGGAGAGTCAAGGGCTAGCCCGTGGCTCACTTGGGAAAGTGTGGTGCTGATAACACCAAGGCCACCGGTTCGAATCCCTATATAGGGGATGGCGGTTGGCTCACTTGGGAGAGCGTGGTGCTGACAACACCAAGTCAAGGGTTAAGATCCCCTTACCTGTCATCTTTAAAAAAAAAAAAAAAAAAAAAGTAGTAGGAGGGTCAAAGGGTATGAATATTTTAAATGCTTTTAGTGCATACTATCAAATCGTCCAGTTTTATTTTCATTTTATTTATTTAGCTTATTTCTTTTTAAAACATTTATATAAAACAATACTATATATTATATTCACCATAAGCACAAATGATAGAACTTTATAAATGAGTAAGACATGCAAATCTCTATCCACTTACAATTCATTTTCTTTTGCAGATGTAGCCAGTGTTCCCTCACCTTTGTATGTTTATGTACTTACACATTGCTTTTGTATTTAAATGTAAACAGGATTATACTATATGTTGTTCCATGGCTTGTTCTTTTCACTTACTAAATGGTAAATATCTTTCCATACCAGTGAATATAGGTATGTCTTAGTCATTTAACAGCTGCATGGTATTTTATTCCATTCAGTTCCATGGTATTCCATGACACGATATTCCATAATTTATTTAAACTTTGCACTATTGTTTGTCACCTAAATTGTTTGTAATGGCCATTTCTTTCAGCAAAAGATTTTTAAAATAGTCTTTATCATTTATCATTATGAGTTGGGAATCCCAAAACTCCTTCTTTGCTTTTTTCTGACTAATAAATATTTATTTATTTATTTTTTTACCTATTTCTGTTTTCTGTAATTCATTTTAAATCACTTAACTCTAGAATTTAATAGTGAGTTGCAGATGGGCCATAATTTAGAGTAACTGAGTACAGAGAAATCTTGTATATTCAAATGAAAAACATTAAGAACTATGCTGGTAACTTAATATACATCATTTAATTTTAAACACAAAATCCATTGAGATAAGTAGAAACTAGTTATCTGAAATAAGTCTGTGCTTTGAATTGAACACAAGATAACTGAGTTCAGCATTGCTGTAATTGGTCTGAGTATACTGTATGCTCTATTTCATGTTTTCTAATTTTCAGAGTTACATAGCCAGTTGTTGTTTGTCTGTGAAAATGTAAAGAAACATTACTTCAGGTATTTGAAAATAGCAAATGAACCACTTTTCCAGCTCAGGGATATAGTCTCATTGTTTGTGGTGGGAAACCAGTTTGGTAGTCAGTGGCTGCAGAGGAAAAACTGCCATAGAAACATGCTTAACACCATCTCTGGTATGTAGCTTGCTGTATGGGCCATTTTGAGGACCCAGGAATCATCAAGGTTTTTAAGAAAAGATTGCAATACACATTATTTAGCATGTAGTTAGCAGTTTACTCTAGCTGGAGTGATCAAATGTCTGGTAATCCAACCCGTGAAATCAAATTAGAGAATCCAGGAAGAGAATTCAGTTGCTTGGTGGATTTTGGCATTTAACATTGAGCCAATCTAACCCAGTCTGAAACTTTAACTTCGGGCTTCTGTAATTTCACTGTAAATTATTTTCCCCATAAAAGTGAATTAATGCCTCTTCATTTTTATATGGAGTAGCGGAAAATTGGTCTTTATCTTATTACAGTTGTGGGGATTCATATTCAGTTTTTCTTTTTCCAGCTTTACTATCTGTCACAAGCTTGTTTTATATCCTGTCAATCATCGCTGTTGGGCTGCTGTACACATACTATACCAAACCAGATGGCTGCACAGAAAACAAGTTCTTCATCAGTATTAATCTGATCCTTTGCGTTGTGGTTTCTATTATATCAATCCATCCAAAAATTCAGGTATGGTTTTCGGCTTCTTCCTCCTGTGAATGGTTTTTAATTAATGCTAAGCTTAAAACCCGGGTATCCTTCTATATGAATTTATGTCTGTGTTTATCCACTTAAACGTTTTTCCATATTATGATAAAGTCTTCATAATTATAACTTAAGTATACAGTGTGCCATTGAGTATATGTATCATAATTAAATCTATCATTTAAAAAAAACTAGGTAACTTGAGAATTTGTAGTTCTTTTTATAAAGTATTTAAATTGTGGAATGATTCTTATGAGTCATTAGCCAAGATATGGGAATTAAACTAGAAAAAATAATTAATTTTAATTTTTAAAAACAACTTATGCTTTTTAGTTTTATCTTTTAAATACTATACTTTTAAAAATTCATGGAGTTTTAGATGTAAAATATGAAAAGAACATCCAGACATCACCTCCTTTTAAAAGTGAGAAAACTAAAGTCTCAAAGAAGTGATGAGTCACTAGTTAGTGGCAAAGCTGAGCTTAGGCTCTCCCTTTCCACTATACCAAGGGACTAGAAAGTCGAAGCCTTTGTGTGATACACAGGAATTTCCAGGATTATGAAATGCCTTGAGAACCAGTAGTATATAATTTGTTTTTCTTATTTTTTTTGCAAGCTCACTCAAACTGAAAGGTTACTTGTCATCTTTGAACTGATGATTCAGTGAATCCCAGAGAAGTGCACTGGGTTTTACAAGTTAGCCTTTTGTGATCCCTTTGGCATTGTATTCCTTTTGATTCCATAGGAACACCAGCCTCGTTCTGGCCTTCTGCAGTCCTCTATCATCACCCTCTATACCTTGTACCTCACGTGGTCAGCCATGTGCAATGAACCTGGTAAGGGAATGTCAATAGCACAGTAATTTGATGAAAAGAAAGTGGGAAATTACCCCTTTGATGGGTGCAAAAACTAAAGCTAGAGCAAATGTAAAACAAATTTCACTTAAATGTACGGTGTTCACTGTAGGTTTTCAGATATTTACTTTTCACATTTTACTACCCATGTCTGTTTATAGTTATTCATTGCTGACAGCCTGAAGGGCTGCAGTCCTTTAGATAGTCTAGGCTTTATCCAACATGGACTAAATGAAACTAGTTGAGAGCTCTGGACAAGGGCAGCCTTGTTTGGGCCCTTTGTAGAGTTGTTTTAAATGAATTTTAGTTTGGTGTCATAGGCTCTAGAAGAAACAGCTGTAGGAACTCTCCTTTTGTAGTTATTGCAGGATTGTTTCTCAATAGGATATTTTATGGACTCCTTTTTAAGGAAAACAATTATTGCAGGATCCCCCCACCACCCCACAATAACTTATTTTTTATTATATTCTTAAATAACTATGTAAAAACAAACCTAGGGATAAACAACTCATGTACTTAAAGCCTTGTCACTAGAACTAAAAAGATTTGTCAAACTACAAAACCAATAAAATCAAGATTGACATTTATGAAATTTAACAGATACTGTCGTTTCTTATCTTTTTTTCTAAAACGAAGTAATTGGTTGTGACACAAATATGTTGCTGACTGCTAACTTTCAGGTTCTTTAAAGTATAGCATTCCCATATTTCATGTCATGACTGAATGATGTATAAGCAACCCTTCAAATCCTTTCTTGGAACAAGATGCTTTATAACCAAAGATAAGAAAAAATTTTCCATTTTCAGATCGTTCCTGCAACCCTGGCCTGCTAAGCATCATTACACACATTGCTGCACCAACCTTGGCTCCTGGAAATTCAACTGCCGTGGTTCCTACCTCTACTCCACCATCAAAGAGTGGGCAGTTTCTGGAAGCGGAGAATATTTTAGGGCTAATAGTATTTGTTCTCTGTCTTTTGTATTCTAGGTAAGTTAGAAGGTACTTAGGGTGAGATTCTCATGAAGGTTAGTAAGAGAGAGCGGAAGCTATTTTGCTTTCAAAAAGCAGTGTGAGGAGTTTTAAAAACAACTTAGCTCTCTTTAATGAAAAGTCCGTTACTTGCTTCAGTTACCCAGCTGTGTGCATTTCTTAAAGTTCAGTAAATCCTCTTATTAAATCCTCCCAGTATTTCAGAGAGATACCTTCTCCTTTGTATAGGAGGAGAAATTCTTCACTAGACCCTAGGTGAGCTAGAATAGTGGCTCTGAAAATTGATTGGGTTATCCTTTTTTTTAAAAAAAACAAAACAAAACCAAATTTATTTCTTGATCATTATACATAATATTTAAACAACTACAGAATTATATACATCTAAAATTAAAAGTCTCCAGTTAATCCTAAACCCCAGGTAAAACCTATGTTTTTACAGCCATCCTTCCACCCATTCTAATTGATATTTTCTGTACAATGGCATGTATTACTTTAATTTAAAATAACTTAAAAATGTGAAATGTTCGGGCCGGCCCGGTGGTGCACTCGGTAGAGTGCGGTGCTTGGGAGCACGGCAGTGCTCCCGCCGAGGGTTCAGATCCCATATAGAGACCGGTCTGCTCACTGGTTGAGCACGGTGCGGGCGCAACACTGAGGGTTGCGATCCCGTTGCCGGTCGCGGTACGGGCACGACACCGAGGGTTGCAATCCCGTTACCGGTCATGAAAAAAGACAAAAAGGAAAAAAAAAATGTGAAATGTTCAAAGGGGACAAGGATAAATTTATTTATATAAGCTAATAACATAAGAGAGAAAATACGTATAAAGTAGGAAATGAAAGTATCCTCCCTTCAAATCTACCTCTCTCATAATTAACATTTTGATACATATTATTTCAGGCTTTTTTCCTTTTTTAATAATATCTATTTATCTGTATATAGATATAATTTTGTATCTAATTATATGTATATAATTTTATTTATGTATTTAAAAATTAGGAACATATAATAATTTATATACACATATATTATTATTCTTTTTTGAACCATGAATTTGTCATTATAATTTGGACAGCGTTCCACAACATTATGTATACATTTATCTAGTTTGTTTTAGATTGCTTAGAACAGGGATTGGCAAATTACAGCCCTTGGGCTGGCTGCCTATTTTTGTAAATAGTTTTACAAGAACACATACATGCTCATTTGTTTCCATATTGTTTCTGACTTTGTTTTGCTTCTGGCTTAACATTTTTCTTATTTTTCAAGAAAAAATGCACATACCATATAATTCACCCTTCTAAAGTATGAAATTCAGTATTTTTTTTAGTATATTCACAGGGTTGTACAACCATCACCACAATCAATTTTAAAACATTTTCTTATTCCAAAAAGAAATCCTATACCCACTGGCAGTCACTCCCCATTCTGCCTCCTTCCAGCCTCTGGCAACCACTAATCTATTTTATTTTATTTATTTATTTATTTATTATGAATTTCATGAGATACAAAGTTAATTGTCACCCCTCGTGCCCATGATGTGAGGGTCAGATTCAAATGGGGAGCATGCCCACTACCAGAAATTACTTTGGTACCCCATGTCCTTCACTCAACCATCCCTCAACCTCACTCCCCCTCCCCATTTCTCCCCCAGTCCACTTTGTAGCCCTAGGAATGTTCCCTCCCACTGTAAGACCAACACACTACTGTGGTCTTTCTTTCTTTCCTTCTTTTCTCTCAGCTCCCACATATGAATGAGCACATGTGGTATTTATCCCTCTGTGCTTTGCTTATTTCACTCAACATAAGTTTCTCCAGGTTCATCCATGTTGTTGCAAATGGGAGTATTTCATTCTTTTTTATGGCAGAGTAGTATTCCATGGTGTATATATACCACAGTTTCCTTATCCAATCATCCATCAATGGACATTTAGGTTGGTTATATATCTTGGCTATTGTAAACAGAGCTGCGATGAACATGGGAGTGCAGGTATCCCTTTGACATGATGATTTCCATTCCTCTGGGTATATACCCAGAAGAGGGATTGCTAGATCATATAGATCTATCTGTAGTTGTTTGAGAAACGTCCATACTGTTTTCCATAGTGGTTGTACTAATTTACAGTCCCACCAACAGTGTAAGAGTGTTCTCTCCACACCCTTGCCAGCATTTGTTATTCACGTTTTTTTGATTATAGCCAGTCTAACTGGGGTGAGGTGGTATCTCTGTGTAGTTTTAATTTGCATTTCCCTGATGACTAGTGATGTTGGGCGTTTTTTCATGTATCTGTTGGCCATTTATGTGTCTTCCTTTGAAGAATGTCTACTCAGCTCCTTTGCCCATTTTTTAATTGGGTTTTTTATTTGTTTTTTGTTTTTTGTTTTTTTTTTAACTATATAATTGCTTGAGTTCTACATGTATTCTGGATGTCAATTCCTTGTCGGATGCATAGTTAGCAAAAATTTTCTCCAACTCTGTAGGTTGTCGTTTCACTCTGTTGATGGTTTCCTTTTCTGTGCAGAAGCTTTTTAGTTTGATATAGTCCCGTTTGTTTATTTTTTCTTTTATTGCTTGTGCTTTTGGGCTCATATTCATAAAGCCTGTGCGCAGACCTAATTACTGAAGTGTCTCACTTATATTTTCCCTTAATAATTTTACAGTGTCAGGTCTTATGCTTAAGTCTTTAATCCATTTTGAGTTGATTTTAGTGTATGGTGAGAGATGCATATCTACTTTCATTCTTCTGCATATGGATATCCAATTTTCCCAGCACCACTTGTTGAAGAGGAAGTCTTTTCCCCAATGTAGATTTTTGTTGCCTTTGTCCAATATCAGATGGCTGTAAGCCTGAGGGGTGATATCTGCATTCTCAATTTTACTCCACTGGTCTGAGTGTCTATTTTTATACCAGTACCATGCTGTTTTGTTTACAATAGCTTTGTAGTATAATTTGAAGCCAGGTAGTGTTATGCCTCTGGGGTTTTTGGGTTTTTTTCTGGCCAGGATTGCTTTAGCTATTTCGGGTCTTTTGTTTTTCCACATGAAAGGTAAGATTGTTTTTTCCCTTTCTATGAAGGATGTCCTTGCTATTTTGATGGGGATTGCATTGAATCTGTAGATTGCTATGGGTAGTATAGACATTTTCACAATGTTAATTCTTCCAGTCTAGGAGCATTGAATATCTTTCCATCTTTTTGTGTCTTTAATTTCTTTCAGAACTGGTTTGTTCTCATTGTAGAGGTATTTCACCTCCTTGGTTAAATTGATCCCTAGGTATCTTATTTTTTTTGTGACAATTGTAAATGCGCTTGCTTACTTTATTTCTCTTTTCGTTAATTCATTATTTGAGTATATAAATGCTACTGATTTGGGGGCATTTATTTTGTATCCTGTAACATTACTGAAGTTATTAACCAGCTCTAGGAGTTTTTTGATAGTCTTTAGGTTTTTCTATATATAGTATGTCATCTGCAAATAGAGAAAGTTTGACTTCATCTATTCCAGTCTGGATTCCCTTTATGTCTCTCTCTTGCCTGATTGCTCTGGCTAGTACCTCTAGTACTATGTTAAATAGAAGTGGTGAGAGTGGGTATCCTTGTCTTTTTCCTGTTCTTAAGGGTAAGGCCTTCAGTTTTTCCCCATTCAGAATGATACTGGCGGTGATCTTGTCATAAATGGCTTTTATTGTGTCGAGATAGTTTCCTTCTATACCTAATTTGTTGAGAGTCTTTATCAGGAAGTGATGTTGAATTTTGTCAAATGCTTTTTCAGCATCTATTGAGATAATCATATGGTCTTTGTCCTTGAGTTTGTTGATGTGATGTATCACATTTATTGACTTTCATATGTTGAACCATCCTTGCATCACTGGGATGAATTCCACTTGATCATAGTGTATAATTTTTTTAATATGTTGCTGTATTCTGATTGCTAATATTTTGTTGAGGATTTAAGCATCTAGGTTCATCAAGGATATTGGCCTATAATTTTTTTTTTGTTGTGTCTTTATCTGGTTTTGATATCAGAGTTATTTTGGCCTCATAGAATGAGTTTGGGAGAGTAGCATCTGTTTCAATTGTTTGGAGTAGTTTGAGGAGAATTGGTATTAACTCCTCTTTAAAAGTTTGGTAGAATTCAGCTGTAAAACCATCTGGACCCAGACTTTTCTTTGTTGGAAGATTGCTAATGGTAATCTTTTGTTTTTTGGGTCTCTATTTCATTTACTTCTGCTGTGATCTTAATTATCTCTTTCTGTCTACTACTTTTAGATTTGGATTGTTGTTTTTCAAGTTCTTTGAGGTGTGGTATTAGGTTGTTTATTTGAAGTTTTTCCATTCTTTTGATATAAGCATTTATTGCAATAAATTTCCCTCTTAGTACTGCTTTTGTGGTATCCCACAAGATTTGGTATGATGTATCTTTATTTTCATTTTCTAGAAATTTTTTGATTTCCTGTTTAATTTCTTATTGGACCCATAGGTCATTCAGGAGCCCATTATTTAGTTTCCATGTATATATATAGCTTCCATAGTTTTGCTTATTGTTTATTTCAAATTTTAGTACATTGTGGTCTGAAAAGAGAGTTGGAATGATTTCAGTTTTTTTTAAATTTGCTGAGACTTGATTTGTGACCTAATATGTGGTCTATCCTGGAGAATGTATCATGAGCTGATGAGAAGAAAGTGTATTCTTTGTTGTTGGGTGAAATGTTCTGTATATATCTGCCAAGTCCAGTTGGTCTAGGGTGTAGATTAAATCCTGTATCTCTTTGTTGACTTGTCAAAAAAAAATATCCCATACTGAGAAAGGGGTGTTCAGATCACCCACTATTAATGTATTAGGTCCTATTTCTTTCTTTAGGTCTAAGAGTGTTTGCTTAATATATCTGGGTGCTCCTGTATTGGGTTCATACATGTTTATGATTGTTGTGTCTTCTAGCTGAGTAGATTCCTTTATCATTATATAGTGGCCTTCTTTGTCTTTTTTTATGTTTTTTGGCTTAAAGTCTATTTTGTCCAATATAAGAATAGCTACTCCTGCTTGGTTTTGGTTTCCATTTGCACGGTATATGTTTTTCCATCCCTTCACTTTTAGTCTGTGTGTGTCTCTACAGGTGAGGTGGATCTCTTGAAGACAGCATGTACTTGGGTCTAGCTTTTTAATGCAATCAGTCAGTCTGTGTCTTTTAAATGCAGAGTTTAGTTCATTTACATTTAGGGTAGTTAATGACAAGTATTGCTTAATAATTCCTGTCATTTAATTGCTTCTTGTTTAGATGGTTTAAATATCTTTTTATCATTATTTCCCCTTTTATTTCTCTTCAGTGTTAGTTGGGAATTTAAGGTGGGATGATTTAGCTTCTTTCTCTTTCTTGCTGTCATTTTTGTTTTAACAGTGGGTTTTGCTCTTTCTTGTATATTTGTGATAGTGGTCACCATTATTCAGATTCCAGATGAATGACTCCCTTGAGAATTTCTTGCAGGGCTGGTCGTGTGATGGTGAACTCCCACAACTTTTGTTTGTCTGGCAAATACACTATTTCTCCCTCATTTCTGAAGGAGAGCGTTGCTGGGTAAAGAATAATTGGCTGGCAATTTTTTTCTTTTGGTATTTTGAATATATCATTCTACTCTCTTCTGGCCTGTAGGGTTTTGCTTGAGAAGTCTGCTGTTAGTTTGATGGGGATTCCCCTATAAGTGACCTTATGCTTTTCTCTTGCTGCTTATAGAATTCTCTCTGTCTTTGAGCTTTGCAAATTTAACTATAATATCTCTTGGGGAGGATCTTTTTGAGTTGAATCTGTTTGGGGACCTTTGAGCTTCCTGGATCTGAAGGTCTGTATCTCGCCCTACACCCGGGAAGTTTTCTGTTACTATTTCCTTGAGTAGGTTTTCAATACTTTTTCCTTTCTCCTCTCCTTCAGGAATACCCACGATTTGGATGTTAGAGCACTTGAAGTTGTCTGCTGTCTCTCTCAGATTTTTTCTCCTTATTTTTAATTATTTTTTCCTTTTTTTGTCTGTCTGAGTTATTCCAAAAAGACCGTCTTCAAGCTCTGAAATTCTTTCTTCTGCTTACTCTATCCTGCTGCTTAAGCTCTCAGTTGTGTTTTTTATTTTATTGAGTCTTTCATTTCTACAAGTTCTGCTACACTTTTTAAAGGTATTAATCTCTTGGTAGACTTCCTCTTTCACATTCTGGATATTTTTTCTTGTTTCATTGTGTTCTTTAATTGAATCTTCCTTTATTTCTTCAAGTTTTCTTAAGATCATTGCTCAAAGTTCTTTGTTAGTCATTTCAAGGATTCCCTGTTGCATGGAGTCTGACTTTGGAGCATTACTGTATTCTTTTGGTGGTGTCATTTCTTTTTGTTTGTACTTCTAATATTTTTTCATTGACATTTGGTCATTTGGTAGAGGATTTGCTTTTTCTGTTACACTGAGGTTGGCTGTGGAGTGGCCCTGGTTGCTACTGTGGAGGTGAATTGTCTTTGCTTGACGGTAGGTATGGTGGTGGTTATGTTAAACCACCTTGGGTCCTGTTCCAGAATGTGTTGTCAGAGAATGAGCCCCTAGTGCCATGTGGTTCTGCTGGGCACACCTCGGAGGGTCAGACCCCATGGACTGGTGCTCCCCCCTGGGTCCAAGGAGCAGGGAGGGGCTGCCTCTAGCCTTGCAGTTCTGCTGCTGGGCTTACCTCGGCGTGAGTAAGGGCATGGGGCAGGCTGGCGCTCTCCCCTCCAGGGGGCGGGGGTGGCCGCCTCTAGCCACCTGGTTTTGCTGCTGCTGCTCGGCTCACCTCGGTGTGGGTCGGGGCTAATCTACTTTACATCTCTGTAAATTTTCCTATTTGAACATTTCATATATGTGGAATCATATAATATATGGTCTTTTGTGACTGGCTTCTTTCACATGTTTTTGAGGTCCACCCATGTGGTAGCACATATCAGTACTTCATTTCTTTCTTTTGTTGAAAATAATATTCATTGTGTAGGTGTATCCCATTTTGTTTAGCTGTTCATTAGTTGTTGGACATTTGGGTTGTTTCCACTGTGGGACTATTATGAAAAATACTGTTGTTAATATTTATGTAGAAGTTTCCTGTTGAATGTATGTTTTTGGTTCTCTTGAATATAGAAGTATAGCTATTGAATAGAATTTCTGGATTTTACTCTGCTTAACTTTTTAAGGGACTGCCAAAGTGTTTTCCAAAGAGGCTGCATCATGTTGCAGTCCTCCCAGCAATGGATGAGGTTTCCAGTTTTACCATATCCTAATCATTATATTGTAATTGTTTTTTTGTTTTGTTGTAGCCATTCTAGAGGGTATGAAGTGGCAGTTCATTGTGGTTTTGACTTGCATTTCACTAATGATTAATTATGTTGGACATCTTTTCATATGCTTATTGACCATTTATATATCTTGAAGAAATCTGTTTTTTTTTTTTTTTTCCTTTTTGTCTTTTTTCGTGACCGGCAATGGGATCACAACCCTCGGCGCCGCGCCCGCACCTCGCTCAGCCAGTGAGCGGGAACCAGTCTGCATGTGGGATCCGAACCCTCGGCGGGAGCGCCACCACGCTTCCCAAGCGGCGCACTGTAGCAGTGCGCCACTGGGCCGGCCCCGAAATCTGTTTTTTTTTTTTTTTTTTTTTTTTTTTTTGTCTTTTTTCGTGACCGGCAA